GACTTCCCAATGCAAAGTGTTGTCGAATCACAATAACATTCCGCCCCCGTGTCACCGTACTCCTGCACGATTTGAATTATTTCAAAAGCGGATCAACGAATACTGAAGACATTCGCTATGAACGCGTAACGACACGTCTGTATTTGATATTGTTTATATCGATCTTAACCGTTCTAATATTTTACAATGTACTTCCCATTCATTTAAAGACAATAATCATTCAATCCCCTTCAATTGACATGTATGACCAATTGTATGAACGTTACTCATCATCACTTGTTTGTCCGTGTTCACAAATTGTCACAAAGTATGAAACATTCATTACGTTTGATCTGGTATATGAAGATGTATGATCGAGCGTTTTAGTCACCGAACAATGGATTAACTATATTTCATATAATCGAAGTTCTGGTGCACTCCAAAACAAGTTAGATAATGAATTCATATATGATTTTAAGTATGTCGGACCGTTTCAGTTTCAAGCACTTGCGTTGATATGTCAAGCATCTAAACAGGCGGTTATAAAGGCTATTGAACAATTCAATTCGACTCAAATGATTAGTTCGAAACTGTCACCTCGTCAGTTATTTGATTCTCAAACAACATCATTCGTTAATCTGTTGAAAACAATTACACCAAATTCATTTCAATTGCCACTGGAGTTGATTCAAGGAACAAGCGATAGTAATCAATTAATGTCAGGCTTACAAACAAACTATATACCATATAGTACATGGGGAAATGATAGTAAAATTCATATTATCAAAATCGCGCAAGAGTACGGTGACACGGGGGCGGAATGTTATTGTGATTCGACAACACTTTGCATTGGGAAGTCGAATATTTTCGATTTAGAAACGTTGTCAACCGAAGTCATCATTCCTAATTGGTACAGTGGATGTTTACCTGTTAACTCGTTGCTACAATCGACACTTGATTGCTTTATCGACAACAATTGTTTTAGTAACATGAATTATTTTCTTGGAATAGCCACATCCTATCCTATGAATGTTAATGCTCCATTATCAAATAGTACTGTTGCAGATACAACAATCGATATACTCATCAGCCATTTGACAGTAAATAGCTGGAACTATAAGAGTGACTACAGAGCGTACTATCAACAGTGTGCTCCATCATACTGCACATACTTCATAATGACACATAATGATCTAATATATATTTTAACGACAATTATCTGTCTCACTGGTGGTTTGTTAACGGCATTACGAATATTTACTCCGATCATTGTGATCGTTATACGGAAAATTCGTACACATAAAAGACAGAGCGCGCTGGGTATGCACATTTATAATCATTAGCAGACCATGTTAAGATAATTCATAGCAGGCAAAACATGTCATTTTCGATGATACTAAAAGATCGAAAACAGAGTGTTCCAGAATTAATTACTATGCTTTTATGAAGAACTATCTATATATTCTGTGATTGTACGCGGGACCAGTTTCTTGAGAGAACAACGATATAGTAGCAATGTATTATACAGGCAGGACCCCATCAAATGCAATCGTGTAATAAACTAGTAGTTCAAGAAAAGGATAGCCAGTGTACGCTGAATAAACCTTGAATGGAGAAAACGTGTGTATATAGCAACTGTTACCCTCCGATAGCCAGACCTTGCACGCGTCCTTTTTGATGAGAAAACAGATAATTCTTTTGACGCTTGGCAGGAGAAATCGTGAGAGACTTAATGACGGTATCCAATGCCTCAGAGTTAAAAACACGTCAGGCGTACATATTCGACCAAGGGGGGAAAAGCAAACAATCCGTACTTCACGCTACTTCAACGGAATTTTTGAAGTGGCGTGAAGTACCGTGAAGTATTTAAACGTTTTCTTCCTATAGATGGAAGTTAAGAAAGTCAAAGTGTTGCGCATTTGATACAGGGTACCAGCAGAGTTGAAATCGCTTGGATTTAGCTGAATGTAGCTTCAAAGTTCCATTGAAGTACGTTGAAGTAGCGTGAAGTACGGATTTTTTGCTTTTCCTTCCTTGTATTCGACTATGGTGAGCCTACTCACAACGTTCGTTTCTCGAGAGTTACTTCTTTGCTTTGAGAGTTTATGTTTGCTTTATAATTACTTCTAAGATACTTTCGCACATAGAATGACTCAAAATCCTTTAAGGAAGTGTCTTCTGTTTGCTTCGTAGCAGAACATGGAATGATTAAACAATGGTATGAAGCTCTGCATCGAGTGAATGAGAAGATCGTAACGTTAAATTTCTATAAAACCAAATCGTGCAATGCTGATGAGATTCAAAATGAACGTGTATCAACGCGATTGTTTGTAATATTTTTCTTCACTGCATTCATCACACTTCTCAATTACATAGTGTTCTCTAAACATACGGTCATCGTCAATATTTCCACACCAAGTCAATCTACGTATGAACAACTGTATCAGTTGTACGGCGAGAATGTGGATTGTCCATGCTCTCAGTTGTCAATAAAACACAGTGAATTTATTCAACTGTCACCCACATTCCATCAAATTTGTTCCAGTGTATTCGTTACGAACGTGTGGTTAAATGTTCTCAGTAGTGGAGCTCACTCATCGCCGTATTATTATTTGGATATACGATATGTTGGCCCGTCACAATTTCAAGCCCTCGCCATATTTTGTACGTTATCCATGAGAACGGTTGATGTCGCTCGAGATCAATTTTATTCAACTGATTTCGTCAGCCCAAAGATTTTACCCTACGGACAATTTAATTCGGAAGTAAACACTCTTCTCAATCTTTTTAAGCAAACAACTCCGAACACGTTTACGCAAACATTAGATATAATAACCGCTACAACTATCGGTAACCAGCTGTTAACCTCACCGTCCATCAATTGGAACACGTCACTTCAAGATATTGGCGACAGTTATTATCAACTAATACCCACATTGGCCGATTATTCCGATTGCAGCTGTTCTGAATCATCGAACTGTGTTCAAGAATTGGGCTTCTACGACGATCTTGATAGGCAAGGCATACCCACACTAGAAGCAACAATTACAAACTTTTTTACTGGATGTTTTCCTGTGGCTGCTCTTCTTCAATCCACGCTAGAATGTTTTTATAACCAAACATGTTTCAACACGTTTATTGACTATTGCGTGACAAACGCAACAAGTATGAATTACTCATCACTACCAAGTCGCTTTAATATTGACACCGTAATTGGGGATATTGTAAAAGAATTAATGATCGAACAATGGAATAACGAGACCAACTATACCGATTACTATCAGCAATGTACGCCATCCTATTGCACTTATTCGATTGTAAAACGAAAGGATATTCTGTACATATTTACAACTCTAATCGCACTAACGGGTGGTCTCGTAACTGCACTGAAACTGCTTCCACCACTCGTCATTTTATTGATTCGAAAAATTAATAATAGAACTAAAAATAATGCTGTCATAGATAAAAACACTGAAAGTGAGTTATCTCATTGTGCGCTAACATCTTTTAGTTTTACTTATCTTTTTTATACGTAGAACGCATGATGTTAAGTGGCCGATTGCGATTAATATTTGATGAAATCAAAGAGAAATTGGCAACATTAAATACATTCGAGAGTTCATCTCACGATATTGAAGATGTGCAATATCAACGAATAACAACTCGATGGTATATTATTCTATTTTTTGGGTCAGCTGTTATACTCTTATTCTGTACGGGATTATCAACCACAATGACAACGATTACTGTCAAATCGCCATCACTACCATTATATACGAATCTTCAACAATCGAACATCAGTGGCCTGCTTTGTCCATGTTCGCGAATCACTGTGAAATATGTAACATTTCTCCTATTTCAGCCGTCCTATCATCCGATTTGCAAGAGTGATTTCATTACTCAACAATGGTTTGACACCATCTCATCTAATGATCAAATAACTCTAAATCAATTTCGAATTATAGCTTCCTTTTGTCAATTAATTGAGAAAACAGTGAATGATTCTCTAACATTATTATATGTAACTGATTTGCTTTCGCCTGAAGCCATATCGTATGACACATTTACAGCTAACGTCGAATCGATCATTAATTCATTCGAATCGTCAACACCGAACTCATTTTTTCGTACATTATCATTGATACGTGCGATAACACAGTCAAATCAACTTATGTCTGTGTATGAAACAAATTACAAATTTCAGCCATATTCACCCGATAATGATAATCTATTTTACACATCCCCCGTTGTGTATGGCACATGTAACTGTGCCCTATCATCATCGTGTATTGAAACATCAAATACGAGTAAATATTTTTACACCGGTTGTTATCCACTCGAAGCCTTATTTCAATCAACTCTCGAATGTTTATATGATTCCTCGTGTGTACCATCCACTTTTACTTCTCTAAATTCGTCATCCTTATCTAGTCGATATGCCAAGAATACAACAGTTGAAAATATCATAAACAATTTCATGATTGAACAATGGAATAGTAGTTTTAATTATTCAGCATATTATGAACAATGTTCACCCGAATACTGTACTTACAGTATCATACAACAAAACGATGCTGTTTATATTATAACAGTAACTATCGGGATTATTGGTGGATTAGCAAAAGCTCTAAAATTATTCTTACCTGTTGTAGTTTGGGCAGTAAGAAAAATAAAATATTTTGCTATGGATAGCAGAGTCGTCCCATTTACTATTCACTCATGAATATAACAGAAAGTAATTTATCTGAATTATAATTTCATTGATGAGAATATTCGTTTGAGTTTAGTATGAAATATTCATCCTTGCTTTTATTAATATGTTGTTGCACTTCATAATAAATCATTGACATTTAAATAGGGACTAAGTGAGTATTCGCGAATTCTTTAGTGTTCGCATATTGTCATATTTTTTTGAAGTGGATGATCGTAGAATAAATCATTAGAGTTTGTTTTTGTTACAGTAACAGTTCTCAAACTTTATGTTGACCATCTTGAGTGTAGTGTTAAACACACGAAGGGGAATTTAGAACACACCGGATTTGTGTTGCATGACTGGTGATTTTGTTTTAGATTGCAATATCTCACCGATATGAGCATCAACTGCTAATTTTGTGTTGAAATGAAGTATGTCGATAACATGGCGATCTTCTTCTTTCCGATCTAATGCGCACGATCATGTATGTGCATTTTTACGATCTTGTAACAGTGAAGGTGAACAATAAAATAACGATCGAAGGTGGACAACTAAAAATAACAATACGAAAGATCTATTTCATTTGTTTACTACTGGTCACCATATTAGAGTTGCTTATGAAAGAACACGGTTTAGTTAGAAATATTTGAAAGGATCGGTGTAGATGGTTTTCGTGATCAAAATGCACCATAAAAGAAATATTCTGTGGAACAAACATAATAGCTTCATGACATCTATGTCGTTAAGCACACTAAACCTATCGCTGATTGTATCTATTCTCAATGCTTTGTCTTATTGTCGTTCTCTCAAGACCATCTGTTAATTGCGCCTTCAAACGAACAGAATTAGCTTGCGAAGGAATAGAAACGTGCAGTAGGGAAAAAAATAATACAAGTTTCGTTTGTCCGTTGTCGAACAATTATATTCTATGAAAGTATGGCACCGCTGGTTATGTAAAAACAACAGAATTTATCTTGATATTCTGGAGTAGTCAGAGTTTCGAGTCGATTTTTAAATTTTTTGTCCATATAGCCAAAACTGGATTATTACACCTAACATTAATTATTACTGGATTTTTCAGTTTTCTTCCGAAAACGAACATTACCACAGGGTTCAGCGTAGCCGATAATCTATGTTTCCATTCATCTTCGAGATTACCACACTTAAAGAAATATCAATCCTGAGTCTCTCGCGAAATCGGATGCCACGCCTCATACACGAGAAAAACCTTGTCAGGGCGAGGTTAAAATGGTGAAACTCTTCTAATGTTTGTAAATCGAATATAGAACTGCTGTGAATTCATATCAGTTCTATATTCATATCAGTTCTATATTCGATTTACAAATACTTATTTCCAACTGCTCTACCAACAAATCTTCTAATGTTGTTGTATAAGTTAATGGGTCGTGGTGTGGTGCTGTATTGTATATAGCAATAAAGTGAAGAGGAAATGACAAGAATATACTCAATCTCCAAGAGGAATACAGCACCCTCTGCCTGCACGGTAAAAAAAGTTTAAAAACTTTCAGTTTAAAAACTGTAAAATAAAAACCATGAAAAAGTATCGTAAAGCTCAAAACTGTAGAAATAAAATCATGTCCTGACTGTTTGCCAAAGAAAAACAATGAAAATAAAAGCGTGAAGAGGAAAACCGTAAAAGAGTTTTTCATGCTTTTTAGTTGACGCTTTTATCGAAGCGTCAAAATTCATTAAAACATGTGCAGTTTCAGTCGTTAGCACGTCAAAAAGTCTTCCTAATCAACTAGCGTAAGTTTAATAGAGAGAGTCTTCGGCTTTTCGACAAATCTATCTTACACAGGATTATTCAATAAAGAGCATTAGCCGGGTAGATAATAGAGTAAAAGTGGCACTTGGGACAGGGAGGGTGAGAAACTCCTTGCTTTTCTCATGGACAACTTTACGTAGCGTATTCAAGAGCCGGTGAAATCGAAGAAATTTTTTTTGTTAGTCATAAATATATGTCCAATATGTTTAGGTGCTGTAAGTAAGCTACAGTACATCAGCTTCGAGGAGAATGGCAGTTTCCCGAGCAGCTGAGACTCGGGACCATAGACGCAGTCGGATCGATGTTCAGCGTACAAGACAAGCAGCTGAGACTCCAGAACAGAGGCAGGTGCGACGCGAGGAAGATCGGATAAGGCATGCGGCCTCCAGAGCAGCCGAGACTCCGGAGCCATAACTGATAGGAGACCATAACGATGTCTTTTTCTAATATGTCAAGTACGTAATATCAAATTTTCCCGAGCAACGCCGGGTACTTCAGCTAGTAATTTATATTTTGACTGAAGTTTTCTGAGTTTGTTTTATGTAGATAAAGTAGGCTTCAGATATCCCTCCGAAGAATCAAAACCATCTCTCATTACATTCGTCATGTTTTAAAAAATTGGGATTAATTTCTTGGATACTCCGATGTGACAGATCAGATAGACTATTTTCGACTTGATATTTGACTTTTTTTAATGAGATCCTCTGATGTTAACACTGCTACTCAATCAGTGAATTTTACTACTCTCCTCTTTTTCTTTTATTGAAGGTAAAAGGGTTGGTATTGTCACCACAACTCGTATCACAACTCGTATTTTATAGCTTTTCT